GCATCCGGTTATTCAGAATGTGGCCTGGGAATGGAGTTCTGGGAAGTCGAAGAGCACGAAGTGTGTGACTGTTGGTGAAAAACGAGCCCGGCACCTGCCGCCCGGCAACTCCCAACACCTGCCCGGACCCCCCTGTGGAGTGATCTGCTGCTCTCTTTTGATCCCACTAGAAACCTATCAGTCTTCGCTGTTAGGTAAAAAATGCTCAAAAATAATCAAAAGATCATCCCCAGACCATTTCTGGACTATTGAATGTTCCCCCTGTAGACTGACAGGCCCTGCTAAAGTATAGTAAGGATGCGCGGCAAGGATGCAAGGGCCTTGGAAGCCCATCTCGAAGCTTTTCGGGCGGGGCGCGGCCAACGAGAGCGGCCAAGGATGGACCGAGGAGGCAAGGATGCAATGGCAGCCTTGGGTATATTGCCCGTCCTTACTGTGCGGGTCGGCTGCAGGACGCACTCGGAAGGTGTTGCCACCTGCTCTCGACGTTTTTCCGGAAGCTCTTCGGCATGTCTACCAAAAAAAGTCGTAGACCCGACCGGTCTGGCCGCCCTCGAGGATGCCACGACGCGAGGGGCAGCCCTGTGAAGCACTGCGCCCTGGCCACTGAGCTCTGCCCTGGGAGAGGCTCCGCCACGGCGGAGCGGGGCGATGTTGCCTCTTCGGGTTCCATTGGAGGGTCCTCTTGGAGCCGTCTTTGAAGGGGCCCTGGGACACACAAATAAATACACACAAATAAAACTAATCCCCATATTTTCCCATATTTTCTGGGTTTTTGTCTTCCCGCCCAATTCCCATATTTTCCAAAATTTTCTTGGGAATCGACGATTAATTGTGTCTGTGTGTTTTTTCCCATCCTGAGTCTTGGGGTATCCTGGGGGCCTGCTGGCGATGGTCGGGGTCCCCTTCGGGCGGAGGCCTCGAGATGTGGGCTCGAACTCCCCCCGCGGGGGCTCCTGTGGGCGCTCTCTTCGGGCCGCCTTGGGCGGTCCTGGGTGCCTCTCGGGCCCTCCTGGCCATCGCTCGGACGTCCATTCCATGTGTTTTGTTCGGCTTCGTGCGTGGCTTTTTCGCCAAATGATCAAGGATGCTCCAAGATGGTCCTCGCCGAAAGAAAATTGCACATGTCCTAGCGATGCCAAGCCTCTGTCTCCCCCGCCCACGACCCAGGTGTCCATGGAAGACGCGCGAAGACCCAAACCGTCATTCCTGTACACGGCTGGCCCCCATGGTTTCCTGCCGCTACCAGTAAGAGAGACTAAGGTCAAGCACGATATCGAAATCGCCATCGTTGACATCTACAACGCAATGAAGGGCGAGCCCATCTCCCGCTGCGAATGTGTACTTCGTGGGTCCCTCTTGGCTCTTGGCCCGTCATGGGGAGCTGAGCCCGTCTCGGGGCCCTGTCCGACCATTTAGGGATCCTCCGGTGGCCCCCTCGGGCTCCCTGAGGACTCTCTTGGGGCCGACTTCTTGGGTTTCCTTGTGCTGCTCGAAGCTCTCTTCAGGCCGTCTTGGGACCATCTTTGGGGCATCTTGGACCGTTTGGGGCCGTCGTGCCCGCTGTTTGGACTGAAAAAACGGATGTCGCAGAAAAATACGGTTGTTCCGAAAAGGAAATGGTGGATTCTGGCCCATGGGGGGCCTTCAAGGGCGGCCTCTCGGACCGTCTTGAGGGCCGTTGTAGCCGTCTCGGAGCAGTCTTGGGCTGTCTTCGAGCGCTCGTGGGCCGCTTTGAGGCCATCTCGGCGCGCTCTTCGGCCACCTTCCAGACAACCTGCAGGGCGCTTTGGGAGCCTGTCGGGCCAACTTGCGGGCCGCTGGGGGGTCCGGGCCCCCGTTTTGGGGGCCCTCTTCGAGCACCGAAGGCCCCCGGAACGCCATGCAAACTAGTGGCGCTGGTTCCTGGCCCTCCCCCCGCCTACTCCGATATACATACATATATATGATGATGATGATGATGATGATGATGATGATGATGATGATGATGATGATGATGATGATGATGATGATGATGATGATGATGATGATGATGATGATGATGATGATGATGATGATGATGATGATGATGATGACGATGATGATGATGATGATGATGATGATGATGATGATGATGATGATGATGATGATGATGATGACTCAACATGACAGCACCTGGCAACATAAACATGGCAAATAGACCGCACACGAAAACCCAAACACCAACACGTGACCATGACCGCATGCGTTACTTCCGCTGGCGGAGGCGCACCCATTTCACCACGAGCGCCTACCGACGAGGAAGATGAGCCAACGTCTCCATTGATCGAAGCCAAGGCCATGTCCCGAGCGCCCACATGTACGATCGAACGGGCCGTTGCGAGAGCCTTTGGCTGCATCCTTGTAACTGGTCCGAGTTTTCAAAACGAATGTACGCAGCGCTGAAGCGAGATCCCAGTTTTGAACAGGAGAAGACCATCGTCCTTGTAGCCGTCGCAAACTTGTAAGACAAATGTGCGCGGCGATCACTTGAGATCTAATAGCCATCCAGTCGTGAAGCTGCCGGTTTGAAAGACGAATGTGCGCGGCGCCAAGGGGAGAGCACCATTTAGAACACGATCCACCCTCTATCCTTGCAACTGCTCCGAAACTTCGGAAACAAACCTACGGCGAGAGCACCCATTTGAAAACGGCCCGTCCTCCATCCACGATACACCCTGCGAAATGCTTTAGAAATCATGGGTTAAGAAATTCATAGTCTCAGAACTTGAATAAAAACCCTACATTTCCATTCAAATCTTAGGATTTACATTGAAACGTCAAGAATAATCGAGACTCTGGCCGAAAACTTAGGTTTTCTTAAGCATCGCCTAAGGTGTACCCTTGGAACGCCAAGCTTCAAGATCACACAGTGTGAGGCTATCTCAAGCGAAACGCCCAGCCCGCCTCACTGACACGCCTGGTGGTCAGACGAAGAGGAGATCATAAGTCACAGGCGGTAAAGATGGAGGGAGTAGATTACATCATAGAAATACCCCAATCAATGGATGGTTTATCGATAAAAAGATCGATCAAGAACGGGGGAACCCGGAACCCACCGAAATCGAATCTGGGAACCCAGAACCGCGAATTGAAAGACTTGGCGAACACGTCCCGCCGCTCTGGGTGGCCGGCTGGGTTCCCGGGTTCCCAGCTCCGGGTTCGTTCCTGGGCTCCTGGTTACTGGTTCCGGGCCGATTTCGGTGGGTTCTGGTGTAATTAGATTACACGCCGGTCGGAAGAAGTAGGTAAAAACATGAAGTAGATTGGGCTTCCACCCGCCCCCTGAAGAGGACGAAAGAAGGAAAACCGCTCAACTCTTGAAGTAGGAAGGCGCCTAAAGTAGATTAGGATTTGGGCATTCAAAAATACATCCTTTCAACGACCGGCTTGTAGTGTCGATGTTGTATAAACACTACTTCTCGGAGGTCCGCACGGAGTTATTGGATCGGCGCCGGGCCCGGCGCGCGGAGCGCGCGGCAGGGGCGGCGCCGGAGGCGCCGCCAGGGGGTAGGGCGGATGCCGATCCCAGAAGTCCGCGCGGACCTCCGAGAAATCATGTTTATTCAACTGTCTGTTCTACAATTGCGTGGAGGGGGGGACCCCCATCGACGCCAAGCGACGCGACTCGACGCGGATCGACGCCACTCCACGCTGCGTCCATGCGAATCGACGCCAACTCTGCGCGCTCTCCCATCGACTACCAGAGGCTATATAGCGCACGCTGCTGCACTCCGAGGGCGGGGCTTCGAGGACACACGGTCGGGACCTCCGGGACAACGCGTCGCCGCGGCGGCCTGGGCGACATGCCGTGCCTGGCGCGCGGAGGCAGCGTGCCGCTCCGCGGCGGGGGGCCAGGAAGAGCTCGGGACACGGACGCCTCGGGACACAGAAGTCCGGACGGCGCGTCGTACCGCAGCACGGTGGGCCAGAATCCACGGAGTGACACGCTATCCAAAAGCCAGGGGCCTCGGAAAATGGAAATCGGTCAAGAGAGGGGGGATGAGGCCAAATCCACTCAAACTCGGTACCTGGACCCCTCCTGGGGTACACCCTGCGAAATGCTTAAGAACTCATGGGTTAAGAAATTGATAATCTCAGAACTTGAATAAAAACCCAAAATTCCCATTCGAATCTTAGGATTTACATTGAAACATTCAGAATAATCGAGCCTCTGGCCGAAAGTTTAAGTTTCTTAAGCATCGCCTAAGGTGTACATCTGGAGTACTTTTTCATCCAAGATCGAATCTTCACGTCCCCGCGGCCCGAAAGGGGGCCCCGGCGGCCAGCAAAGGAGGGACACAAAAAACCCTCCCGAACCCACAGCCTCGAACCTGCTGGCCGCCGCCAGTGCCGGGCCACCTCCGACCCCCCCAAACGGCTCCCACGAGGCTCCCACGAATATTGCGACCCCAGACCCCCGACGTCGTGTTTTTTTCGCAACGTCGACCCGCAGAGGTCTGGACCCCTTCCCCGGGACCGGTTCTTCCTCCTGAGTCGTTTTTTGACGCTCCCGAGGCCCGGGGAGGGCCCCCGGAGGCCGAAACTATAGAAAACCCTCCCGTCGTGATTTCTTCTCGACGCGAGGAGGTCTGGGACCGACCCCCCCCCCGCCCCTGCGCGCGCTCCGCGAGCCACTCGACGTCCCTCTCGACGCGCGCTACCACCTCCGGAGGCGGTGCGCCCGCCCGGGGTCGCCCCGCGCCACGCTCTGAGAGAGAGACCCCCCTCCCGCCCGGCGGGCCCAGGCCTCTCCCGAGATCGGGCGCTGAGGAGAAGCGGGGCTTCCTCGGAGATCGGCCCCGATGTCCCTCCCTCCCTCCTCCCTCCCTCCTCCCCTCTCTGTTGTTCCTCCCGCCTCTTCCCATCTCTGTTGTTCCTCCCTCCTCGCCCTCTCTACCTCCTCCTCCTCCTCCTCCTCCTCCTCCTTTTCCTCCTCCTCCGCCTTAGCAGGAGGGTCCAAGTCATTCGCTGTCGAGATGGCCGTGAGCAGATTCCTGTCTTACTTAAGATGAGAGTGCCGCGTGTGGCTTCATCGCAGGGTCTTGCTGCCTCCGCTTCTCCTGGTCGCCGTGAGCACGAACAAGTGCATCGGGACAGAGATAAATGGACGAAGAATCCTCGAGGCGGTCCCGGATGGCTACACACAGATTAAAGCTGCTCCGAAAGCGTCGTGGAATCAGGGCAGGTATGCTTCCTGGCACGCCCGATGACGACTTCACCGCCTGCTGCGAGGAGCTCAAGACCATCTCCGCCCCCTGCAGGCGCATCTTTCGTGATGAGCGACCGCGGAAGCAAGAAGAACTAGTGGAGGAAAGGTGACAGGCGTGGAGGATTAGGGATCTTGCATTAATTAAGTCGGGCGTGTCCCCCTACAGGGGGATTTTCGACGAACCATGAAAGATACACCAAAAATACGCCAAAAAGGTCAAACACTACTCAAAAAAAAGTCCCCAGACTATTTTTGGACTATGTTTGATTATTTTTGGGTTTTTTTGTAAATTTTTCGCAGAAAATCCCCTTGTAGGGGGACAGGCCCGACTTAGATCTTGCAGCGGTTGACCGTCGTTCTCTTCCATGGGCAAGTGGGCGGCACGGGCGGGCTCGCGGAGACTACACCAGACCGGATGGGATGCTACCGAGTGCTGACGAATGGATGGGTGTCCTGGGGCTGCCGGGCAGTGAGGGAGGACTTGCTGCACATTGGGCTGCACAGTCAAAACGTATAGTACACCCTGCGAAATGCTTAAGAAATCATGGGTTAAGAAATTCATAGTCTCAGAACTTGAATAAAAACCCAAAATTTCTATCAAAATCTTGGGATTTACATTGAAACATTAAGAATAATCGAGATTCTGGTCGAAAAACGTAAGTTTTCTTAAGCATCGCCTACGGTGTACGGACGTGGGGTAAGGACGCAAGACCCTCGGAGGCGGAGATTCGGAGGGTACCCTGAGAGGCTGGCCAGTGAGAGCGGCCACGGACGGGCCGCAGAGGCAAGGACGCAAGGGCTCCCTTGGGAAATCGCGCGTCCTTACCATGCGCGTTGACGGTCTGGCAAGAGATGCTGGACATGCGACAGATATGGCGGCGACCTCCACCGACCAGCCGAATCGCGCCCTGAACGCACGCAGGAGGCCTGGATGCAGGCCGCTAACTGACACGGAGCAGCTGCAGAGCGGCGTGGCCGGAGCCCCCGCTGGCCGATGTGCCCCCCTAGATGGGGATAGAAGCTGCTCCCTTCGGGCTTCGAGGGGTGTACAGTCGAGGCGTTGACCTAAGGAACCTTAAATAAGGAACGAGGCCCCTATTTTCCATAAGTTGAACTTCGATTTCGTATCGAAAACATAAGGGAAACCTGAGGCAAACTGTGAGACACTTAAGGAACACGGAGCCCCTCCCCAACGAAAAGGGTTCCTTCTTCAGGGCCCCGACTGTATCTCCATCTGGGGCGGTCATCTGGTGGGGGTCTCGAAGGGGATGGGGATGGGGGATGGCCATGGGGATGGGCATCGGTCAAGCGACACTGGCCACGTACCACTGCTGCCGCACATCCCAGCAGTCGGCGTTGGACAAACCTCTCTTTCGCAAAACCTCCCCTTAGTGACATCGGCCTGGCACCGAAACCTACGGACCTGGACCCGCAAACATGACGGCCGCGACGCCCTCTCGCGAGCCGAAAACGGCCAATTCCTTAATCGACGTGTCAGGGTAGGAGGTCTGTCCACCCCCGACATTGAGCAGGGACCGACCGTCCCGGCATTCCTGTAGTCCTACCACGAAATGTTCTTAGAACACAAAAATGTTCTAAGAACAAAACCACCCATTTTAGAACATAAGCCCGATGTGATAAAACAAGACAGTCCCAGCCAGAAATGTTCTAAGAAACATTTCGTGGGAACCGCAAAAAGTTCTGAGAACATTGTTCGGTAGGGCTATAGGCAAGCCAGGATGCTTCGCCACTGCCGAGCGGCCGGCCGCGCCCCTCCCAGGCCCCCGGGCTCCGTGCGTGCGAGCCCTCCCGCCCGGAGCCGCGTGGGGGCCCCAGAAGAAGAAGAAGAAGCCACGTAGACGTACAGGGCAGTTTTGAACACATGGGATTTTTAAACGTATAGGATTTAAGATAGGATTGATGTACCAATAAATCAACGCGTAAATTCATCATTGCTTTTAATACTAAATCCTTGTATTGTTAATACATGATCCGCACGCGGAGCATGTACTAAAAACGGCAATGTCATGTCTTGGCGCTCCGCGCGGACTTCTTGGATTCGCGCTGGACCCCCCCTCCCCAGCGCGCGGAGCGCGCCAGGGGCGGCGCCAGAGGCGCCGCGGGGGGGGGGGGCCCGGGGACGCCGCCACGGGGTGGGGGGCAGCGCAGAGCCGAGATATCCCCGCGGACCTTCGACCACCCATGCCCGTGGAGTGCCTTCTCCGAGGTTAGGGCAGGCCCCTGTCTCGACGACGTGGGCCTGCAGGCCACTGGCCCCGCCCCCCTCCCTCTCGGCCCTGGCCGAAAACCGCAGCCAGGGCCCCCGCGGTGGTTGCCCCCGGGGAGCGGGTCCCGAAGTGAAGGCGCGGCGCCTGGAGGGAGGCGAGGAGCGGGGCAGGCCGCGAAGCAGCAGGCGGGAGGAGCAGCAGGCGGGAGCTGCCAGGCTGGAGCAGGAGCGGGGGGGGCAGTGAGGGGGGCCTCGGGGGACGGGGGCGGCGAGAGGCGGGAGGGGGAGAGCGAGAGGAGGCACTCTGCCCTCCGGCACGCCCGTCACGGGCACCCAACCGATGCCATGCGAGGAGGAAGGGCAGGAGCAGCGGAGAGGCTATCCCGCCTTCTCCCTCTCGCCCTTGCGGAGCAGGACCGTGTAGTCCCTCGCAGCCTGCCGCGAGTCCGCCAAACGGCTCGCATACAGACGCGCTACAGTGGGGGTCCATGACAAAAAAACACCCTGCGTTTCGTCAAGGTTCCCTGGGTTTCTTTGGCTGGCGTTCGGCGCGGAAGCCCGCCGTTATCTCGAAGGAATTGACAATTCCAGAACGCCCTGGGTTTCTTCGCCCCCCTGGCCTGAATCAAATGGGCACGAGCTTTTTTCTCCCGGAAGGGAAGTCGTCGCCCTTTTGTTTGCGAAAGGACCGAAGCTCGCATTTTCGATAACCTTGGGTTTATTGATGTCATGGTTGATGTCAGCAGTCAAGAAACCGCTGGGGCCAGGGTGCCCTGGAGTTCCTCGCTGGCAGCCGAAGTGCAAGAAACCCAACCCTGGACCAAGAAACCTCGGCGGATTTCAGGGTTGGGTTTCTTATGGTGGGTGTCTTGTGCATCGGCCCCAACTGTAGCGCACGCACGTGCACAAGCGCCACGGGAGCACTTTCTTCGGCGAGCGCTCGCTCGGCGACGCGCTGGTCACAGTGGTGAAGTCGCGGAGAGGCGCCACGCAGCCACACACACAGACAGACAGACAGACAGACAGACAGACAGACAGACAGACAGACAGACAGACAGACAGACAGACAGACAGACAGACAGACAGACACGCACACACACAAACGCAGACCCACGCAACCAGGCGTGCGACACCAATTGCAAGGTGAACGTGTCTTCTGCTTGCACGCAGGAAGGAAGCCCGGGCCCACACGTCCGTCGGCACAGACAAGGTTTCTGAAGGGGAACTGGGACACACAAATAAATACACACAAATAAAAATATCCCCCATAGTTTCCCATATTTTCTGCGTTTTTGTCTCCCCCCCCACTTCCCATATTTTCCCATATTTTCTGGGAATCGCCGATTAATTGTGTCTGTGTGTTTCTTCCCCTCCTGAGTCTCGCCCATCCGGACGAAGCCCTTCCTGAAAGAGGGTTCGGTGAATCGCGTGACCCGAACATGTCTGCAGACAGTGGGGAAGACAGCACGCTGACCTCATTGGACGCATGAACCCTGCAAGCTTCTCTTGTTGGGTACCATGGCATTCGATATCCGATGATTTCTGACACTAGATTCGCAATGGTAGTGGCACTGCTTTGTCACTCCTTTTGAATTTGTTTTGGCATTGCCCCTGGTCCCACAGGGGATGGGGCGTCCTTCGGGAGGGCGCATGTGGGGGGAAAAGGGGGGGGGGACGGCCGCGACGGAGATGGAATGCTGCAGGGAACGAGCGGAGAGGGCAAGATCAATCGGCATCGACTGAGGATCAAGCCAGACGCAATCGACATCGAGTTTGATCGATCGGATCGACATGAAACGTGAAGGGGGTTGATGATGATGCGAATGATGATAAGGATGATGATACTGACGATGATGATGATGATGATGATGATGATGATGCTGATGGTGATGATGATACTGATGATGATGATGCTGATGATGATGATGATGATTATGATGATGATGAGGATGATGATGATGATGATAATGGTGGCGATGCTGGTGCTGGTGCTGATGCTGATGCTGATGATGCTGATGCTGATGATGCTGATGCTGATGATGATGCTGCTGATGCTGATGATACTGATGCTGATGCTGATGCTGATGCTGATGCCGATGATGATGATGATGATGATGATGATGATGATGATGATGATGATGATGATGATGATGATGATGATGATGATGATGATGATGATGATGATGATGATCATGCTGATGATTATGAGGGTGTCAAAACGCCATGCAGAGCGCAAATTCACAGACCCCGCACCACCACGTACGTGGAAGAGGCGCACCGCAGCAACACCATCTGCCCTGCAGACACATACAGCCGCCGTGCTGCCGCAAGGAACCCTGGGCAGGGAACGAATGGGCGTTTCTGGCCACGGTGAGCCTCGATCACGGCTGGGTTCCTCGACCTGGACCCTCCTCCTCCGTCTCCCCCTCCACCTTCTTCTCCTCCTCCTCCTCCTCCTCCTCCTCCTCCTCCTCCTCCTCCTCCACCTCCTCCCACTCCTCCTCCTCCCCTCCTCCTCTCCTCCTCCTCCTCCTCTCCTCTCCCCCCCTCCTCCCCCTACCCCTCCTCCTCCTCTTCCTCCTTCTCCTCCTTCTCCATTCCTCCTCCTCCTTTCCCCCCTCCTCCTCCCCATCCTCCTCCTCCTCCTCCTCCTCCTCCTCCTCCTCCTCCACCACCCCCTTGTCGCTGGACCCCCTTGTGGGTCAACCCGACAAAATGTACCGACACCGCTACTCCCTGAACCTCTCCCGGGGCGCGTTCTGACCAGGACTTCGAGACGAATCCAGCCGTGGCGATGAGGGCCTCCCAGGAGGCACAAGAAGGGGAAATGAACAACGAGGCAAGGGTAGCAGCATTGGGTAGCAGTATTGGGTCATCGCTGGGCCCCCTTTGGGGTCACCCCCTCGAGAAGGACGCCGCGGTGGCCGCGGGGCCATCTTCCCGTTGTGGTACTTGACCCGCTCGTCGGACCACGAGCTCCTCGGCGCACGCGCACGAGCGTCGTGCGCGTGCGCGGGAATCAGCGGAAAGCGACCGAAATCGGAGACGCGCCGCGCGGCAGATGGCAGCGTTTGTTTATGATTAAATCGGGCATGTCCTCCTACAGGGCGATCTGGGACGAAAAATCACGAACACTCCAAACACATATACACGAGAATAATAAAACAATGTGAAACATCGTCCTCAGACTATGTTTTTTACTATTTTTGAGAATTCCTCCTGTAGAGGGACAAGCCCGACTTACATTCATGATGTTCCAACCTACCTTTAGCCTTGGTCACCAGACAGACTTTCGAGCACCAGCAAAAAGTACCGAAACTCGAGGGGGGTCTTCACGTGTCGGGCCCTGGTAAACACTCGTCCGACACTGTTTCGACACTCTTCCGGGTGCTCGAAATTATTTCGGGGACGTGGTCCTTACATACGACGGCAGCAACCTTGCTGCGCCCGCCCCTCACCCCTGACATTCTCTCGCTGCGAAGAAACACGACGGGAGGTCTTTTTGGCGACCTATAAAACAGGGCTAGGATCGGGATGAATCGCTCCAGAGCGTTCCGGAGCGCTCTCAGAGCGTTCTGGAACGCTCTGGAGCGGCCGCGGCGCCCAATACATCCTCCAAACCCGCCGATTCTCAGAGGTTTCGAATTATCTCGATCCGATTTTGTCCCGGTCTTCGCGTCGTTTTAACCTTCGGCCTCCGGGGGCCCTCCTCAGGCCTCGGGCCCGGCCGCAAAAAGGACTCGGGGTGACGAGGCGCGGCCGGTGAACTCTGAGGGAGGAGGGCGCCGAGGGCGCACGGAGCGGAGCTGCGAGGCGGCCCCTGCACCCGCTGGCGTGCCAGGGCCGGAACCAGCCCCCGCGTAGCTCGCGCCGCCGGGAGGACAAAAAGCGGTGCCCACACCTTCGGAGTCCCCGAAGCGGTGCGGTGACGGACCGTGCGGTGACCTCGAGATCCCGCAAGACCTCCCCGCACGGTCCGTCGACGCACGGTCTTGGGACCTCGGATGTTCTCGATCGCCCGAGACGTCCTCGGAGAGGGACTCGGGTCCCAAGACCGTGCGGTGACCCCGAATCTCCACCGACTCACCACACGGTGTGGTCACCACCCCGTTTGGGGTGCCTCAGGGCGCGCCCTCTTCCAGACCCCCTCCCCTGAGTCTGCACAGGGCACCCCGAGAGCTGTGAGAGCATCCGAGAAGGCCTCAGCGAGAAGGCCAACAATAATATGTTATTGTTACTCCGAGGTTTTGGGCCGATTCCGACTTCCTGGGGAGGCAGTGCTAATTGAGGACCCCCCCTTCTCTGATCGATAGCTTTCCAGATGGCCTGCCAGGCCCACAAGGAGGGCCCCAAGATGACGAACCAGCAACACACACCCATACCCATAGGGGGGTCGGAGAGGGCTATGGGTGCGTGTTGTCGGATGGGGGTCCGACAACCCGCACCCATACCCCATACCCATAGCCAGTCCTCCTCCCAACGACCCCCCTATGGGTATGGGTGCGTGTTGTCCGTTCGTCACAAGAGGGTGCCAAGAGGCGCCCAAGAGGCCCCTGGATGCCCCCGAGAGGCTGCCAACAGGCCCCCAGGGCGGGCCCGAAGAGGCCCCAAGAGACCCCCCCGAAGGACACAGGACGCCCCGAGAGGCCTCCCAAGAGCCGGCCGGAGGCCCAAAGACGCCCCGCAAGATCCCCCTGATGGTTCAGGGCAGCTCGGCTGCGCCGGGCATCGCGCCTGGATGGGGCCGGCGGGGCTTCGCGACGCTTTGGGAACTCCGCGGAGAAACCGCCCGTGGCGGCGAGGGCTCGCCAGGACGAACCGCGGCATCGGTACCTTTCTGCCTCATCCGACCCGCAGCTCTTGAGCTTGGGCGCTCGAGTTATCCGGGGTAACTCGGGTCCGGGGTAAGTCGGGTTTGGATTCCCGAAAAAGGAACCCGAGTTAGCCCTGACCCGAGTTACCCCTGATGATTCGGGGCTCTGGACGCCCGAGTAATCCGGGGTAACTCGGGTCCGGGGTAACTCGGTTTGGATTCCCGAAAAACAGAACGGAGTTTATCCCTGACCCCCGAGTTACCCCTGATGATTCGGGGCTCTGATGAGCAGGGACCGACCGTCCCGGCATTCCTATAGTCCTGCCACGAAATGCTCTTAGAGCCCCCTAAAATGTTCTAAGAACCAAAACGAGGTTCTCAGAACATACACCCGATGTGACACAGCAGGACAATCTCCGCCGGAACTGTTCTCTAAGGACATCTCGTGGAAACCACAGAAAAGGTTCTTAGAACATTGCTTGGTACCCAGACCCCCGACGCCGTGATTTTTTCACAACGTCGACCCGCAGAGGTCTGGACCCCTTCCCCGGGACCGGTTCTGCATCCTGAGAAAAAAAAAAAGAGAGAAAAAAAAAGAAGAAAAAAAAAAAAAAAAAAAAAGAAGAAGAAAACCTGAAAAAAAGAAAAAAACAAAAAAAAAAAAAAAAAAAAAAAAAAAAAGCAAAAAAAAAAGAAAAAAAAAAAAAAAAAAAAAAAAAAAAACAAAAAAAAAAAAAAAAAAAAAAAAAAAAGAAAAAAAGTCGTTTTTTGACGCTCCCGAGGCCCGGCGAGGGCCCCCGGAGGCCGAAAATATAGAAAAACCTCCCGTCGTGATTTTTTCTCGACGCGAGGAGGTCTGGGTAGGCTCTAGGCGAGCCAGGACGCTTCGCCCCTGCTCGATCCGCTCGCCGGCTCCCCTCCGACCTCGCCCCGCGCCGGGCGGGCCCCGCCGGGCAGCTCCGCCCTCCGAGGAGGGGTCGCCGCCGGAGCGGGCGCCGGCCCGCGCGTAGGGCCCGGGCCCGGGTCAGCGCACGAAGTGGCCAGAGCTGCGCGGAGCGTGAGGTCGACTGGGGGGCCACGTGCGAACCCTGCCCCCAACCCCCCACGATTCCTGAGGGGGAGGGTGGGGTTCACTTCGCTCGGGAGCTCCCGAACGAAATGAACCCCACCCTCCCCTCAGAAGTCTTGGGGGTTCTGGGGTAGGGTTCGCACGTGGCCCCCCATCGACGCAGGAGGGGCCAAAGCCCAGGCACGGGAGGGGCTAGCGGCTACCGCGGCCAGAGCTCACGAATCCGAGCGCTCATGGGCGGGGTGGGCGATCATGCCCATCCCGGCGATGAGTGGGCAATCGGGATTCAATGCGCCCATCCCCCCCCCTTCCGTTGCCCATGAGCGAGGGATGCGTCAGATCAGGGAGATTTCTTGGCCCCGGCCGTGACATCCACACATTCCTGGTCCTCACCCCTTTTTCGGCGCCCACTCGTAGAAGAAGAGACGACTTCATACTTACACCAGAATCGCACATCGTCGAAGGCTGGCGCGGATTCCTTGGATCGGCGTAGGACCGCCCTCCCTCACGCGCAGAGCGCGCCAGGGGCGGCGCCAGAGGCGGCCCCCGGGGCGCCGCCAGGGGGGGGCCACACCGACCAGAGACATCCGCGCGGAGCTCCGACAGTTTACACTCGGGCTGCTGAAATAAGGAACGCCCAGATAAGGAACGAAGCCCCCTTTTGTTCCGCAGACGCGCCTGAGTAGACGAACAGCGTCAGAGAAACGGCAACCGAAGGACCAAATATCGAGCCCCTTTCCGAACTCAAAGCGGTCCCGATTTCGGCGTCTTTGCCGCCCCCAGGAGGTGGCGAAGGAGCAGGACTATGACGGATTCAGCGAAGGAGGAGGAGGAGGAGGAGGAGGAGGAGGAGGGGGAGGAGGGAGAGGAGAAGGAGGATAGGAGGAGGAGGGGGGACGAGGAACACAAGGATCTGAAACAAACTACACACACAAACACATGGAAGGGCCTCCAGAGGGCGCTCGCACAGCGCGGGGATGGTAGCACGCGCTAAGGAGGAGGAAGAGGAGGGGGAGGAGGAGGAGGAGGGCGAGGAGGAGGAGGAGGGGAGGAAGAAGAGGAGGAGGAGGAGGAGAAGGAGCAGGCGGAGGAGGCAGGAGGAGGACGAACCAAGCGAAGGAGAAGGAGAAGGAGGAGGAGGAGGAGGAGGAGGAGGAGGAGGAGTTTCGATCTCCAGCGCCCCCTCGACCCCCCCGGCCGCGCAAGGGGCCCGAGGCCGAAAGGCCCGCGGGAAGCGCTCCTGCCGCACCACATGCCCACGTTCCAGATCCGCTTGTGCACCACCTGGCCGGGGTGCCACTTCGACCCGCCCCCCGGGCGTCGCCTCCCTCCTCCCCTCCTTGCCTCCACAAATACTCAATATGAATATACTCTCCCTCTTCCCCTGATAGCGTCCGGGCGATGGCCGCGCACCCTCCGCGTATTGTTTTTTAACACACAGGATGCCCGGGAAATCCCGGGAAACGACTCTCGCTGAGGCGCCGGCGTCATTTTTTCCCAAAATGCTGCTCTCGTTGAGGCGCTGGCCTCATTTCTGCTCCCGAATCGTTCCGACTCGTGCTCCCGCTGCAGCGTGGGCCTCATTTTCGGATCGGTGTTTGGCCTCCGTCGTTCAGGATGGCGTTCTCGCCCCAGCGCGGGCCTTTTTCTCGCGCGCCCAT